GTCGGCGTGATTGGTCAAGGTTTGGTACTGCCTAATTGCAGTTACACCTAACTACCGGACTGCTCAAATTGTGATTTAAGGTTTGATACTGCCTGATTGCAGTTATACCCAACTACCGGAATGCTCAAATTATGCAAGTACCCGGGCAAACTATGTTCGCACCCAATTTCACCTCCCCGGTTTCTGGGCATGAGGATAATTTCGTGCTCCCCAACCAGATTACACTTATGACTAGATACACGTATAATTTGGCACATGGGAAATGTAGGCTACTGCCTCAAGTTGGACACGGTCTGGGTATCGATGTCAGTTGGGCGCTGGGACTGGGTATAGCGGGAATTCCCATGTCTAAATGGGGTTTCCCCTTTTTTTTAAAGACAAGTCTGACAAAAATGGGACCGGGTGGCGAGGTCCCACTTGCAGGGATCAGGGACCCTGCCAGTCTACTTGCGAAATGTGACAATGTCGAGTGCATCTGCACACGGAAGGTGGCAAGATGAATCTTTCCACATCTGCGTGAATTTCCACTCGACTTGTCTCTCGCTGTGAGTAGTGCGGCGAGCCTAAGTAAGAGATACTGGCTCAGTCTGGCTGTAGATATGGGCGGCCAACATCTCTGCAATCCGTGGAAGTGCGACTTCAGCCGGGGGTCTTTGGTGCTTCCCGGAGATGCGGACTCCATCTTTCAATACCGAAGGGCATACTCACACTAAGACTTCCCTTTTTTTTTTTAATTTGGACCAGTTCTCGATTTATGCATGTCATCCTTGCGCAGGGGCCATGCTAATCTTCTCTGCATCGTTCCAATTTTAACAGATGTCCCGAAGGACAAGTCTTCCCTTTGTGTTGATCTAATTTGAAGTTATGTGTTTAAGGGCGGCAGTCTTGAGATATATCGACAGGTGACCGGCCCCAGGTAATGTAAGGTTATTGTTATGGAAGTTATTGTAGATTTTATGTCAGGATGATTATTGGTTATCGAGTTTGACAGGTATGTTGAGAGTTTAAGACACTTGAAGTGTCGTGAAATTGAGGGTCTCGACCCTGACAGCCATTGGGATGGAGCCATGAAGGTCAGCTAGGATGATTCCGACAGAGTATTGGATCTCAGAATTCATTCATTTGATGTGTCCCGCTGCGGCTGCAGCAGGACCTGAGTAGCCGTGTCCACCTTGCCTGACGCTCCCGCATTGCCACTTGTTACAGGGTGGCACAGCTCACCGCAGCGAGCTACCAGCGTTGACTGGCCCTGGCCATCCTCAGGCCACTGAAAGTGATGGCAACGGGATTAGAACCCAGCGTCTCTGTGGTGCCGCTCCAGTATGAAACCTACTGACCTAGCCGAGGGGAACTCAGCTCTGGACGTGATTGAAGTCAGACAAATTGAGGTCTGGACTTTTGCAATCAGGTACATTGAGGAATGTGCTAGTGTATGCCCTCACTGAAACTCGGACTCGACCGAGCCCAGTTCTGGCGAGGGAACGAAGCCGCATCAAGCTGCTGCACATTTTCTATGGTCAGGATAGGATTTGTAGCAGTGCAGAGATGCAGCAAGGGAACCAAGCCTCCTGCTACATCATCTTCCCCCAAATAGAACGCGCGGTTATTTGTGGTGTAGCTAGACTGAAAGTCTAACTTTAATACGGGTGTAATGACTGCATGTTCCATTTGGGGGAAGATAGTGGTTTTGACCAGGACCTACTTTGACAGCCTGCTTACGGATCAGGATCAGGGTGAAAAAAAGGTGGGGGGCTGTGGGGGGGAGGAAACTAGGTATGAACATTTCGGCAGGCTAACTTCTGGTGGCCGGGTGGCGAGGTGGGTACGCGCTACCTGGATGCGCTGATGCCCAGCCATGTGCATGATCTGTACCGGGATGTTGTCCTTGCGAACACAGCGGGACTCTTTCTGTCACTCTGCCCTTTGTATATGATCCAATCTCTGAAGCCTATTTCTCAATGGGGACGGGGCTGTCTTTCCGTGCCTCTTCATGTCACTGCAACATCGATTTCAGCTTGCAGAACGGAGGGCTGCTGGTAGGCTCCTTTTCGTCGTCTTTCTTATATGGAATTTCTGCAATTTTTTTTTCCTTCTCTTCCCTTAAGGTGCCACTACCTTTTCCCATGTCAGCATCGGGTGGGCCTCTGATCTTTTAGGAGGCTGAAATGAAACCACGGCCGCCGATGAGACAATGGTGGCCATCGTCGGTCTCTGCACCCTACTTTTTAGGAGTATGTGAAAACTGCCAGTTTTCCCATTTTTCCTTAGTGGGTGAGAGGTAGTGGTGGTTTAACCGGAGGTTTTGCCAAGTGCACTGAGCGAAGTCAACAGAATCAGCCGAAAAAAAGAAGACTGGTCGACTGATTGTGCAGCCCGCTGGTGCTCTGTATCGCCTGTTTGCACTGGGCCCTTTTGGGCGTAGCTATGCCCCCCAGGGGCAAGGTCCCACTCATCGGAATTGTTTGTTTTTGACCCTCGGTCTTTGCAGTATATGGGCCGGAGGAGAGGAATTGTCCAGAGAATTTTAACCTCTTCCCAGGCTTTTGACTCAGCCGAATGTGTAGTCTACGCCTGTCAAAATGCTGATCATGAAGTTCAGGAGTTCAGTTCCCTCCTGCTGGACTACCACAGAGTCCTAAGGGCTTGTGCCTCCTTTTTTGGAGGGAGACTTGAAAAAGCTGTGGGGCATGCACTAGAGACTGCTTATGGGCTCACATTCGGTAGAATAAGTTTTTGTGCAAGGATGCCCAGTATTGTCAGTCATGTAGGCCTGTGGGGCCAGAATAAGGCAGTCTGATATAGGCCGGAATACGGTAGTGTGGTACAAGAGTGTGAAATGAACAGGTAACCTGCGGGGCCTTAATAAGGAAATGCGATATAAAGGAGTGTGAAACGAATAGGTAAAGAGCAAGAAGGAAAGTGAGAATGGCAGGAAAATCTAGAGAGAAAAGAGGTAGAAAAGGACATTAGAGCGCAAAAATTCGCAAGTCCATGAGGAAAACAGAGGGTGTCTTTATCGTTGCCTCCCTTTCTACCTACTCTCTCTCTCTTAGTATCTGTCCTCCCTTTGGTTTTGCGTGTATGCTCTTCGCGTTTTCGTTTTCTCTTTTTTCATTTCCACATATGCTGTTCGTTGATGGTTGTGTGATGGAAGAGACGGAAGTGCAGTGACCCCTATGATTGATCCTTGAGTAGGATTCATTGCACAGTCAATGCAGGAAATCCAAAGGCCTTTCTAGTGGAACACATCTGAGCCCCCTGGACCAGTGAACTTGTGGTTGGGATAGAGACCTCTGCCTGTTGTGAAGGGCTTGGGCTGCAGCAGGAGAAGGGAAGTCGTTTCAAACCTTTTTTTGTTACTATTAGCCAGCTGGAGCCTCACCATCGGAAGCTGCTGTGGACGGAGTTATGTTAAGAAGAACAAAGGCGAGCAAAGCAAGGCAGGCCTCGTTTGGCTCTCTTTCTGGACTCCGACGATATGTAGCATGTGTGCGTGTGTAGGTGTGGACTGTGCAGCATGGACTGTGCTGTTTGTGCACACTTGCATGCATGCATGCGTCAAGGGGATAGGCTTGATCCCAGTTGCAGTGGATGGTGAAGTTCGTAGGACTCTAAATGTCTGAAGTGATGGATGATAGCCATTGATCCATGTACTGACACGGAGAAGAAATGTGAAGCCACATTTATAGTATATACCGTTGAGTAGCAAGCAGGGCACTGTGGTAACCGAACGTAAGGTCCCACTTCCTGGGATGTTCATTGTTTCTGGGCATTGATTACAACGTCTATTTGTTGGAAATGAAGAGGCGGAGGGGGGGGTCTCCAGGGATGGAAAAATATATGTAGTTAGTTCATGAGCTGGATGGATATCAAGCTTCCAGACGAGGGTGGAGTATGCTCCAATCCGTGTGGTCCCTTCCTGAGGCTTATTCTTTTGCCACTGTTGGGAAGGCAACTAGTGTTGACTGAACGTAGAAGTGCATATGATAGCAGGGTTTTTTCCAGCCAGCCAGTTGGGAAGAGAGGAGCATTTAACCAGTCCTTGTCATTCTATAAAGAAAGAGGGCAGTGATCGAAAAAAAAAGATGTGGTCATTGTGGTGTTTGTGTGCGTGTGCGTGTGTGTGTGCATGTGCGTGTGCGTGTGTGTGCGTGCGTGTGTGTGCGTGCGTGTGCGTGTGTGTGCGCGTGCGTGTGCGCGTGTGCGTGTGCGTGTGTGCGTGTGTGCGTGTGTGTGTGTGTGTGTGTGTG